TATATATATACACACACACTTTTCTTCCGTGTATGTTCCCATGCTCAAGCTAATAAATGGGAGCATTATCACGATTTCTAATAATGTTTTATGCATGTGCTTGCTTAGCTCCCCCTAAATAAAATGAGGACTAAATTAATAATTATAATTGCACAGGTGGATCGCTTAGCCCTCATAATTAAGAGCATGGCTTGACACATGGTCAATGGTTTGAGTTATTTTCATTTCCATATATAACTGCTTGGAGTTTTTATTAGGATAACCATACAGGTCTTTTAGATTTTTTTTTTCTGCTTTATATTTGATGTAAAATTTGTAATAATTGTTAAGAGTTGTGAAAACAACTTTGAGTTGGGATATTCTTATCCAACTCGGTTTCCAAAAGAAGAAGGCATCCCTAAAGGGGAGAGTCTTCTTCATTTGGAAGATCGAGTTAGATGGCTTTAGGTATCCAAAGAGAAATTTTTTTTCTGCTTTATATTTGATGTAAAATTTGTAATAATTGTTAAGAGTTGTGAAAACAACTTTGAGTTGGGATATTCTTATCCAACTCGATTTCCAAAAGAAGAAGGCATCCCTAAAGGGGAGAGTCTTCTTCATTTGGAAGATCGAGTTAGATGGCTTTAGGTATCCAAAGAGAAAAGGCAATACCCCCCATGCTGGGGGGGAATTGTCTCTTCGTTTGGATATTCAAGCAACGACAAATCCAAGGAGTCCAAGGAGGAGAGATCAAAGGAGTCCAAGGAGGAGAGATACAAGGAGTCCAAGGAGGAGAGTTCCAAGGAGTCCAAGGAGAAGAAGACACCTAGAAGACCGAAGATCATTATCCCACTCAAAGTCATTTGCGTCAGTCATAGGTTTAGAAATTCGGGTTGTTGGCAGTGGTGCCCGGCCACTTTACTTTCTACATATCTGGGTTATAATAAGGGCAATTTGCATATTGCCATTTAGTTGATTATTCTAAATTTATATTGATGTGTTTACCTAATTGCGCAGTAGAATTACCTGCTTTTTCTAGGTTTCTTTCTTGCATGCCGTTTTTTGCTTTCGCTTGGATTTTCGTTAGGCTAAGGACTATAAAATTTTTCTACTCATAACTAACTCATAAAATTTTAAATTTTAAATAACATAAAAACTTAATGAACCTAGGGAACTGCCGGAATCGTTTGGGTCGCATGCATATTACTGCATTCCACTTTTCTTATTATAAGACATCTCCCTGCCTGCGAGTAGAGCCCGGATAATCTGGCCTATGAGGATGAAGTGTCGGACCTAAAGAGACTTAATCTTTTTAAAAAAATTATTTTCTATAAGCCTGTTTTTAAAATTCTATAGCATTCATGAGCTGACATTTCAACTAGCATGCATTGCATCAGTAACCAACTAAATAAAATTTAATTGCATTAGCTAGGAGCATCTGACCCACATAAGTCCGGGACCACTTTGGAAATCCTCTAGATGTCGGTCCTACTTCCAACAACTGTACCACACATCCATCTTTCATAATTGACTTGATAGCATGGTTTTAAAGCGATTAGGCGGTTAGCTAGCTCCCCAATCCAGGCCGGGGTAAGTCCAGGTTTTGCACTGCATTAACTTGGACACGGGTCTTAGTGTTTCGTAGAACACTAAGCCCAACCTAAATTTAGGATTCAAGGCTACTACACTCGATCTCGTAGTATGCCTTAAATAGTAGGTAGGTCCCTTCTTTTTAGGGACTCTAAATCCTACTTATCTGTGTCACAGGATGTCTCCACCTCTATCTTTTCTCTCAAACATGTGGTTGAGTGCTTGATTTCTTTTCTTCAATTTTCTCCTTAGTATCCTAAAGCCTCCGAATGCTGGTATGAGCCACGCATGTTGACTAAGCCTCTTTGAGACCTTTCTTCCCTTTGAGTAGGATTTCTTAACCTTCACCCCTGTGCCAATCCTACTTTAGGAGAGGATAATGTATGATCCTTAATCGAGAGTTTTCTAGGGCTCCAGCCTGGGATGTAATTAACCACGGGGTCTTACGCCCGTGGGAAACTTGATCCCACATCTACTAAAATCTATTCGAATTGTTGTATCGGGTGGGGGAAACCCGTGATTAGGTCGTGTATATTACTAACCATCGGGGTGTGTTGCCGACAGCCTCTATCCTCAATGGTTAGTCGTATGCACGATCCAGTCTGTCCCTTCCAATTGACCCATTCGCGCGGTGCTCTTTCGGAAGTCCACAGGTTTCTGGCGACCACGGTGGGACCAGTTTTTCTCTCCATCTTTGGATTATATATTATCGCTCCTTGTATGTACTCCGGGATTAGTACTCCTTAGATTATGTCCGTCCTACTCTTAGTTGGGATCTCTCTTTAGTTAGGGTTCCTTCCCCATAGCTAGAATTCTTCCCTACTTTACTTCTTTCCAGCCTTACAGGCTTTTCTATTCCTTATCAACTCCTATCTATCTTTATCAAATCCTTCATTATTTCTTGATTTCAATTTTGATTTCTAACCTTTCACTTTCTTTTCTTGGCAGCAGTACCATGGCCCCTTTCGTGCCTTTCGTTACCTTTGCTTTCGATTCAGACACGCGAGTGACTCTCCCTGAGTCCCTGCTCGCAAGTCCGCTAGCTGGAGGGATCACTTTTGGTTCCTTCACTGACTCGGCATTCGTCACTCTTGGCGGGCCGACCCCAGCGGAGGCTACTGTATTCTCTCATCCTCAGAGGAGAGGACGCATAGCCATGCGCCCTTTCGGATGACCAGCTGCTCGGCGGACAGCCCAGGCACCTGCTCGTCCCATTCCTGTAGTTGCCCAGCCAGTGCGCGCTGTGGCTAGGCGACCAGTGCCTAGGCCACATCCTGTTTCAGTTGTTCGTCCGGCGATCAGGTGACCACTGCCTGTCGCTCCTGCTGCACAGGTTGCTCCGGCCCCTCAGTGCTGGCAGCCTGCTACAGTTCCCCCCGTTCTTCCTGCGATTAGGCATCCAGTGCCTACCGCTACTGTTGCACGGGTTGCTCCGGCCCCTCAGTGCCGGCAGCCTGTTGTTGTTGTTAATCCCGCGGTCCCAACGGAGGTACCTCGCGTTAGGGTTCCCCCTCCCACTTCCACTAGGAAGAGGGGTGCTCAGACCGAGGCGCCTTCACCCTCTTCTAGCCGGGTTTTTATTTTTGCTCGGCTTACTCTGAGATCGCCTGGCAGACCCCGGCACTTCCAATTGTCCCTATTCCCCTTGCCACCCAGGTAGTGGGTTCAGATGTTCCTTCCTCTTCCACCTCCGGCCTTGGGAGAAGGGCCTAGAGGAATAGGAACATGATACTTCATTTAGTTGTGTTCGAGGCAGAGAGGCAGCAGATAGCTGATGTGATAGCACACGATCAGCTAGTTCAGAGGATGGTGGCTCCCAGACAGCAGAGACCACGACCAGTTACAATTTTGCCTACCCCAGAGGTGATAGCAGCCCCTAAGATGGAGGCGATCCAAGGAGGACGCTTCTCTTTACTGACACACAGCAGAGATGAGGAGGATGTTGCCCGTATTATGGTGGCCCCTCCTATTATCACTACTTTGCCTCGGGCTAGGGACCCCAGGGATGCTAGTGTTCGAGCCCTCTCTCAGAGGATTCGAAACATCGTCCGCCTAGCTCGTAGCAAAGGGCCTGTCAGTCGAGAGAGGTTACTCCGACAGACCTCTCAGACTACTCTTCAATTATGGAAGCAAATTTTGGGATAGATATATAGGTGGCAGAGAGGACAGCTACCTCAGCGGTCAGTTGATGTAGTTCCAGTTGTTAGATCACCGACAGTTACTTCTACTGTCAGTCGACGCCCACGTCGCCAGGGATAGAGACAGCAGCAGGAGCCTTCTTGGCCCCAGATGAGTTCAGTTGTGGTAGCCACTCAACAGCTGGTTAACCACACAGAGCCCCGCCGTAGTAGGAGACTTCAACGAGCAGACACCTCTGTCAAGCTAGTACATCCAGTGGAGGTAGTACAGTCAGCAGAGGCAGTGCAGTCAATTGAGGTAGAGACAGTTCAGCCAGTGGATATAGTTGGGCAGATAGAGGTTGCAGCTCCTCCCGGGTCCGAGGCGGTCCTGATAACTTGTGATGAGGATGTAGTAGTTACTCTTGTTGGGTCACCGGATCGAGTTGAGACACCTTTAGCTCCCAGCACTCATAGGATCACTTCCCCTACGAATCCCTACATAGAGGCACTCCGTCAGATCTTTTTAGAGGATGACTCATTCGAGGATGAGTCAGATGAGGATATACCAGTACACTAGGTTTGTGAGATTACGCATCGTGGTCACTCGGATGAGCAGAGAGAGAGAGAGCCCGAGGACCAGGATGAGCAGGGAGAGCCCGAGGTGGGTGGATTTCCCAGGTCAGTGGATGCCTATGCTACAGTCCTACACCTCCAGACACAGATGGTAGAGATTGCCAGAGCCACGGCGGTTATGACAACACAGTTGACAGTTTTGAGGGCGATGCCCCAGATGGCAGGTGTAGCTACTACCAGTACTTTCAAAGACCAGCCAGCAGTACCACCTGTTGTACTAGGCCCCGTAGGAGTGGATAGGGTCCAGAGAGCAGTCCCAGCACCACCTACAGTGCCCACTTATAATACTCCCATTCAGAGTCAGTCATCTTTACAGGAGAGACTTAATAAAGAATATCCCTTTAAAAGAGAAAGCATAAGGAAGATATTCAAATACTTGGCTGAGAAAGATATTTTGACATTCCCATTTAATAAGAGAAAAAATAAAGAAGGACAAACAGAACATCAACTCTATTGCCCCTTTCACCGATGTATTAGACATACACTTGAAGATTATTTTATGTTCAAGGATAGAGTGGAGAACATTATGGGCAGTGGGAAGATCTAGCTCCAGGACAGTGACTTAGTACAGCCTTTGGGCAGGGCTACTCAGACAGTGCAGAGGATTTCAGACTACAGCCACGGTGATAGTCAGACTTACAGTCAGGGCAGTAGTGGCAGATCACTCCACAGTTCTGAGGGAGAGTGGCAGATAACACTCTCCAAAAAGACATAGCAGATGATTAAGTAAGCTGTACAGAGTTCAGAGGCAGTTGAGATGAGGCCTCCCAAGGCCAAGTTGACAGTTGCCACTCCAGATTCTTTGTTAGCACTTGTTTTTCTTTTCTTTCTTCTGTTGTAGTGCTAGATTAGTACATTTTCTTTTTTTTTTTTATTTCTATTTGTGCTAGAAAAATATGTTAAAAAAAATGATTGTAACCTCAAAAGGGAAGACAGGCCCTCTTCCAGCACTTGGGCTGAAGGACCTCGTTCTCTCTTATGTTGATGATTAATCAATAAAAAAAAATTGATGATTTATAATTATGATTGACTCTCTTACTTCTTCTAGCTCTACTAATTTTTGTAGTGATGACTCATGAAATAGTATGATCTCTCTATCTCATCCTATGGGTGGAGAGATTTCTTCTTTTGAATTTAAAATCTTCTTCAAATTGAAATTAGATTTAGAAGTGAAATTTTTTTCTATTACCTTGTGATTATCTATCTCATAGATAACTATAGTATATTGATGAATAAAATTTCATAATTTTCTTAATCAAGCTATTCATTCTTATTAGGAGATATGATTTGTTTTGTAGATCCTTCTTCTTTGTCCAAGAAAAGTATGTCTTCTTCTCTTGCATCTGAAAGTTGATCTTACAATTGAGAAAATTTTTTCTTTTAGAGGTTTGGAAGAGGAAGTCAGTTTCAAAAAGTGACATGATGCACAAAGTGCGTCAAAGTAAAGGATACACAAGGTGTATCAAGTAAATGAGAATTATGCAAAGCACATTAAAGTTGATAAAGTGACTCAAAGGGCTCAAAAGTGGTAAGTAAATGGCTTCCCTTTCTAGTAAACTTCTAAATCTCAGAAAATCTATATCCTTTTGATATTTTTGATAATTGAATCTGAAAATTATAATTTTAAAATCTTCATTATACAATGATGTCATATAAGATATAGAAATACACTCATACAAGAAATGGAGAAAATTAATTTTTTTTCTAATTTAACTTCCTTTTTGAATTAGATTTCAATTCAAAAGAGAAAAATACTCATATAAGTGAGGTGTCTTGATTTAGCTAGTATGGAGCTTGATCTGAGTTAATAAATTTAAATTGAGGATTCTTTTTAAGATTAGATGGAGTTAAGTACCAAACTCCTTTGGGATATATGCCTATTTATCACTTTTAATTGGGTCCACTCCCTTCTATATTTGTTAGGATCGGTGATGTTGATCCTTTATTAGAAAGTAAACTACTTATTCCTATCAGCCCTACCCTGATAGTTGAAGCCCCCAGTCCATTCATATGGGATGAATGTGATAGGGAATGTCTAAATCATTGATTTAGACCATTTAGAGATGTGGTACTGGGTCCACACGCTCCTGCATTTGTTAGGTTTGATGATGTTGATTCTATACTATGATGAGATTCTCTTCTTCCTATCAGTCCTACTCTGATAATTGAAGCCCCCAGTCCATTCACATGAGTTGTTGAATCTGATCGGGGATATCATAGTCTTTTTAGATTAGACTCTTTTGAGAGAGGATACTGGGTCCATACCCACCCATGTTAGCTAGGTGTGGTGATAGTGATCCATTATTTCTATGAGATTCTCTTCTTTCTATCAGTCTTGCTTTGATAGTTGAAGCCCCCAGTCCATTCACATGAGTTGAATATGATCGGGGATGTCGTAGTCTTTTTAGTTTAGACTCTGTTGGAGGTAGGATATGTGACGCCCCAGGCATCCATAGTGAAAGGATTCGTCTGACATTCTGATCGAACTCCATTCCAGTTGCCTTGCTCGGACCTGAAATTGTCAACCACATATAATGAGCTTAAATAGCCCAGCAGGTCACTAAAGCCTACAACTGAAATCAAAGCACGGTACTGCTATCAATATGCATGTCAGTCAATCAAATCCATAACAGTCAATGGTCAATGAGTCCAAAATTCGACTACGAAAACACAAAACAGGTCTTAACTCGATCAAAAATCAATATATCTGAAAACAGAAATAGGATTCGGAGTCCTTACCGCGAGATCTACACTTTTCCCAACAGCGGTGTCGGACGAAAAGCGCTCCGCGGCCTCCAAAATCCGGCTTTCCTCTCTTTTCCTTTCTCTTTCTCTCTCCTCAAATATTTTCATTTTATAAAAATGATTTTCTCTCTCCTCGAATTGAGCTGATTTCCTTATAACATTAGTCTGATCGGCCCGGCCGATCGCCACATCGTCTTGGCCGATCAGAACAAAATCAAATTGGCCCGGACGATTCCTCTGGCCGATAATTTCGATTTTGCTCTCGGGATTTTGCCATGCACTGATCGTCCCAGGACGATCCAAAATCGGTCTGGACGATCCAGTCCAGAGATCATTCCAGAAAACACTCCAGAAATCAGTCGTTTTCAATGCATTGATCGGCCTGGACGATCTCAATATCGTCCCGGGCGATCCTGGGAGGAAAATCCAATTCAGAGAGGAACAGTAAGGGAACGAGATCTCACAGGCTACTGGGTCCACACCATTCTATGCTAATTAGGTGTGGTAGGGTTGATCCTCAATCATAATGTTGATATTAGTTATACATTAATTTTAATATGATTGTGCTCCCCAGTTCATTCATATGAGTTGAATGTGGTCTGGTTATCAAAACCAATGAGTAGATTCTTTATAAGAGACTGTTAGATCTCTTTCTCCAGTCTCGTTCATATGGTGAACTTGGTCTAGGTTATCAAAATCATTCACTATCCCCATTTAAAAATTTATATATGATAAAATAGGAAAGCTCTTAGTAGAGCAAAACCCGGTTGCCCTTGTCACAGGAGGAACCCGGTAAAACTCTCTAAGAGCACAAATGCCCCAATTTTGTTCATGTGGCAAACATGATCTGGGTTTATCGAAACCATTCACTATCCTCATTAAAAACTATGTATGTGAATAAAAAGAGGGAAGCTCTTAATAGAGTGAAACCGGTTGCCCTTATCACAGGAGGAACCTGGTAAAACTCTCTAAGAGCTCAAATTCCTCAAAATTTCTCTTGCTCCTCCCTTGAAACATTTTGATGATTTCTTCAAGGTTGAGTCGACACTTAGTTGGTTATAAATCTTTATGATTCAAATAATTATCTTTGCTAAGTGATGTAGTACACTGTGTTCTGGATATTAACATCACTACCTTGTGAGCTTATGTCTTTTTGAGAAAAGATCAATCCCCTTCTTCCTTTTTTTGGTAGTCTACTATCTCATTCATACATTG